ACTATTCTAGCAGTGACAATCTGCATTTAATTAAAAACAGATTTCCCATCATTTAATAGAAGAAGAATCCTTATTTGTTTATAGTTCCCTTTTCAAATGCTAATTTTCACTGTACACTGATCTGAAAAAAATCATTTTCAGCCATTATTTTTACAGATGATGTCAATAATGGTGGTTTGATTTGACCACGCTAATGCACAATAGCAAAATGTAGAGATATTTTGCAATAAACAGCATACAAAACAGTCAATATAGAGCTGTATGTTTTATCAGCTTTGTCAGGTTCTTGTTTTAAATATAGCTTCTCAGTCCCTGACCACATACTAATGTTTGCTTTTTCTTAAAATTACTGCTTTGTTTGTTAGTCAAACACAAGTACACATAATCAAATTATATTTAACTGATATTTTGGCATTTATTTTCCATAGCAACAGTGTGGCGTGTTTACTGTAGCTCTCATTCAAAAGAAATAACCAGAGAACCTCAAGGTCAAAGTGATTTTTGAAGCTCTATTTTAGAGATGTGCTCCAGGGGCTGTTATTCAAGCTTCAAGTGTTTATTGTCAGATGTTCAAGTTTCCCTGTACACTGAAATTCCTAATTTGCAGTCCACATCGAATGCCCACAATAATAAATTTAATAAAATATATGTATAAATAAAAATACAACAAAAATACAATAACTAGAGAAATAAATGAGCTTCAAATCTAAAAATGTAAATATCAGATGTTAAAAAAAACAAATATATAAACTTCATAGGGCAGTAATTGTGTGAATTGATGTGGAAATAGAGAAAATGCTGTATAGGATACTTAAACTATTGCAATTTATTTAAAATAAAAAAAGAAAGACTTTAAATACTCTGCATGTTCATAAGATATTGCACCCATGACATTCTGTAGTCAGCTTAAGTAATTCACTTTAAATGCGAAGGCTGTGTATCACTTGAAAACACGGCTAGAGTTCTGAATACAGCTTGAATTATTTTTTTTCTGGGTCAGACTTGAGGGCTGTTTGAGGATGTTTGTGTGATGTAACTCCTCATTTCTCCTGTTGTCAAACCCCATCAGTCATGATCTTTGTTTTTGGCAGTTTAGCTGCATTCTTCTTTAGTCTCAGATAGCTTAAACTACACAGATTGTGTTTAGCCTGGCGCCTCGCTTCACTCATATGACATCAGGAGGTAAATCTAGCTTTCTCAAAAAGGACAGTGGGCTGTCCAGTTTCATTTTGTCATTTTTTATTAGTTATTAAAGGAATGAGAAATCAGAGAGGGACGTTCAGTAGAGCAAATGAGACAAATGTCTGTGGGGATTAATTCCTGCCATCGTGTGTGCACAATTTGCTCCAGAGTCAGGAAAAGTAACTCTTTGACCTAGCCATGAAGTCTGAAATATCTCCTAAGCAAAAAGATCCTGTGATTGACTATACCATTTTCATCATTTCTACCTTGATGACATGCTGAATCTTGTTTCCAGTGAATCAGAATCAGATTTGCCAAACTGGGTTTTTACATACACAAGGAATTTGCATTGTCATATTGGTGCATAACTATAAACACAGTAAAACATTTAAATAAAGATGAAAGCAATAAAATAAATGTTGTGAAATGTTAAATGAAAAAAAAAAAACTGAAAAATTAGTGGCCTGAAACGTTCCTTACGGAAACCATGCATCAGAGTTTACAATACATTTCTGAGGGTTTGAATAATTGCTCTGGATAGAATTGTTGTTAATAATGATGGACTACTTCAAAAACAAAAAATGAGTGGTAAATAGGCCTACATCATCTTCCATATTCTGAATAATTGCCTGTACTTTCTTCTGGTTTAACAAAGGTATTCAGTGTAACTCCAATTAATTACCCTTACAGTGATAACAATTGCCAACCCAAAATGCCCTCTAATCCTTGCCAAAGGTGTAGTTGCTTTTCCACTTGTTGCTCACATTTTGAGATCTGTGTTTCCCTATCAGTTCAGGGGAGACAGGCTGTCTGGCGAGAGCAGGTGATCATTATCTCCCATCCTCAGCGGACAGACAGGCTGTTCATGCCTCACTGTATGTGGGTGGTATGCCGGGCTTTGATACCTGCAAGCTTCAGTACTTACCTGTAGCATACCAAGTGCTGGAAATACCCAACAAGAGTACAAATCAATGCGCGCGCGCGCGCGTGTGTGTGTGTGTGCGGGCGTCAGTGCACCCAGCTTAAAGAAAAGTCTAACTTATTAACACACACTTAACCAAAAATATAAGGCAAGGTTTGGTCATTTCAGAAAAACTAAAAAGCCCTTTACAATGATAAAAAAAGTCCGCTATGTGTCCATATGTTGCAAATGTGGAACATTAAATAAAATGGAGGGGTCTTTGATCATCTCCCTCCAAAGTGAATATTTTGATACCTGCTAAAACACAGTTTGCGTGACCCCTGTTTCAACCTAAACAGACTGTACAGTAGTCCCATACAGAGGCATAAACAGTGTGAGAAACCGGCGAGATGAAAGAAGGAGATAACCGCTGCGCTCTGCGCCTGTGGGAGGAGTGTTTGCACCTGCGGACACAGCCACATCGCTGCCTTGCTTAGCGGCAGACTACAGCTTTTTGCCCACTAACAGGACTCACAAAGCGGATACCTTAGCCATGGATGCAGAGGAGAAATCCCCCGCAGACCCGGGGATGCAGCCCCTGGACACCAGCTCCAACTTGCCCCCTCCTGAGCCCAAAGGTGCGGAGGAGACCGGCCAGCCGCAGAAGCCGCCTTATTCATATGTGGCTCTCATCGCCATGGCCATCAAGGACAGACAAGACAAGAGACAAACCCTGGGCGGAATATACGACTACATCATCTCCAAGTTCCCCTACTATGAGAAAAATAAAAAAGGCTGGCAAAATAGCATTCGGCATAATTTGTCTCTCAATGAGTGTTTCGTCAAGGTGCCCAGGGAGACCGGAGGGGACAGGAAAGGCAACTACTGGATGCTGGACCCCGCATTTGAGGACATGTTTGACAAAGGGAATTACCGGCGGCGGAGGAGGGTGAGGAGACCCTACAGACCCCCTAGCGTGCCTTACCTGTCCGGGAACCCCGCGGACTATCCCGAGCCACTCTACATCCAGCCTTACATGAGCAGCTCCTGGAGTCTGTGCCAGCCCAGCTCGTCCCAGCCGAACGGATACCCAACACCCCAGGTCATCCCTGGTCACACCCGCAGCGTGTCCCCCAGCGGCCCGGTGAGCTCGTACTGCCCGCCCCCCCACTTCCACCACTCTCCGTACGGCGCTTACCACCGCCACCCGCCGGTGCTGGTGCCCCACAACGGGTGTCCCTACGGCGGAGTGACCCAGCCGGTGAGCCCCGACGGAGGCACCGTGTCCGTGGCGTGTAACTACCAGCAGTTCACCTCCTATGCGAGGCAAGCGGAGGCGCCTCTTGCTCACTCGTATGACCTGTAGGGGTTTAAGCTGTACTAACCATTGACAGCCAGTTCACAGACTCGAAGTTCATCTGTTTCACCATTTCAGTTCAGCTGTCATAAGTTTGTCAGGTAAAGCTAGCCTAGCTTAATTGTTTTGTAGGCGAGTTTGGTAAGGTGTAAAGTTGTTGACAAGTGATTAACTGTTAAATAAGCTGTTTGTTGACTTTTTTTTTTATTGATGTGCTAGTTTCAAATGCCAAGGAATTTATTGTCAGTAGCCTCATTGAGTTGCTTCAGAAATGGCACCGACGTGAACTGCAGGTTGACAGCTGATTTAAATCGAAAGCTTAGTTTAGTCCATGTCTCTTTTAATAGAGAATTATTTTGCAACCAAATAAACTTTTGTTTTATTTTTTATTTTTTTTATTTTTTCAAAACATTTTTTCTTTACATTTCTTATTTCTATCCTTTTTCATTATGCCAATACATTTGTAACTAGGTTATTTATTTATTTTCTCTGGTTTTATCCCCTCCCCGAGCTGCTATGCAACAGTTGGTGACAGGGAAGCACTGGTCAGTTTTCTTATTCGATTATGAATGTTTAGGCTACTTGATGTTAAATACATCATGTTTGTTAAAATAAAATGTTATTTTTGCATCAAATACTCTCATTGATTTACTTATTCGTCTGACAATGTTTTAATAATAATGATAATAAATGTATGTAGCCTAATTCATTGTAATAGCCTACTAGTGATAAACAATGTTACCTCTAGGCTATATGAGCATAATCTTCCATGTCAGAATTTGAGACCTATAGTTTATCTCAAGGTAGCCTATCAGCCTTGTTGAAATGAAGAACCATCCTCAAAACGTGGGCAGATTAATTTGGTAATTTCAGTGTTTTATCTTTGCCATGCATTTGATTTTTGACATAAAACTCGCACCTTATTGACAGATGTCAGTTAGCCTACTTGTCTTTAAAGTGACACACGTCATATAGCCTAGGCCTATACAGACTATAGTTAGGACCTGTCTCCATTACAGTTTATCATTAGGCCTACTGTAATCTGGCCTGCTATATTGCTGTTTAACGTTTAATTTGATCTTTAAATTGCGTGATTTATTTTTATGCATATTGTTTGGACATTTTGGATGGGAGATTAAGAACAAAGAGGTGCCAGGTGATAGGATGCAGCTAAATCTTTTGTTTCAGAGGCTAATTATTTTTGACAACATACACATTGAAAGGCCGATTAATCTAATTTCTATAAAGAAAGGCACTGTACTGTAATAGCCTATCAGGGCTTCAAACCATGCGAGGACAGAAATTGTCCCCTCTCACATTCCAACACTATCAAACTCCCCGTCTACAACACTACGCGTTGTTTAGAGACAAACCAAGGAGTGATTGATTTCGATACTGATAAGCACTAAGACAAAAAACACTCGACTTATGGCTAAACATGTAAAGTTTAAGTAATAGTTTAATCATGACATGGGTGTTTTTAGTGAATAGTCCAGTCGACAAGAAAGTATGAATTAAAGATGTTGGAACGCGTCCCGGTTCTACGTAATTTCCGTTTCCTTTACATGGGCGTGAACAAAAGGGGGTCGCTTGCCGCGTGTTTTGCTGTTCGGTTGGAACCACTACGTTTCTCATGTTTTGTTCGATACATTGCTGATAATTTCAGTGGAAATGGAGGCGTTTAATCAGCTTCTTTCGGAATATCCTGAACTAATGTACAGTGGAGTTGGAGCTACGGCGTTTGTCGCCGGTGGAGCGCTGATATACAAAATTGCCACCAGGTAACTTCAAGGTTTTGCACCGCGGCGTTGTGCTTTTAGCCACATTTACGGTGAATTAGTACAAGTTTTCAAACAGCGTTTAACATTTGCATTGGTGGTTCAGAATGGTGACATTCAGGAAATAATTTTGCCAACAAAAATGTCTAAATATGTTTTATATGTCCTAAGAGGGACCAATTTTTCCACGATAGCCGAGTGCTAAGTTTGCTAGCTATGATGCTAACTAACTTTAATGCTTTAACGTTACTTGGATAGTTTTGAGGTAATAAAGTGAAGATAAATCGTGATTTACTGTTTGAATGCACATATCTATTTGTTCTTGATCTTGCTGGGAACTATTGCATGCATACGTTAATAAATATGTGATTGTTTTGAGTCTATGCTTGACCAACCTGCAGGGCTTCCCAAACTTTTTCATGTCAAAGAATCTGAACCATCTCCAAACAGACTGACGTGATCTTAGACTATGTACTCCACTTCCTCAGTATATAAGAAAAATAGTGCCTCGTTAATATAATTGTAATAACGTTACTTCAGTGACCAACGGTGGGAAACATTGGGAAATCAAAGATGTAACGTTATCCGGTTTGAATAACAGTGTAATGTCATAAGAACTCCACTTCTTACAGAAAGAAGCCGACTTTTGCAAATGTGAACTGCTGGTTCTGTAATCAGAACACAGTGGTGCCCTATGGGAACAGGAACTGCTGGGACTGTCCCAACTGTGACCAGTATAATGGCTTCCAGAAGGTAAGTTTTAAATTACACGACACATGTGAATTGTTTTCTTGGCATGTCAGTAAACTGTATTTTTCATATTCTTCATTTTTGTTTATCTGTCTTGTTTTCAGAATGGGGATTACAACAAACCCATCCCGGCTCAGTACATGGAGCATCTTAACCATGGAGTATCTGGTAGTCTTCCCTCGTCTGAGACACCCAAGACACTGCAATGGGTCAACTGTCAGATGCTGCTATGCAGAAAGTGCAATAACAACCAAACTGTAAAGATCAAGCAGTTGGCATCATTTATTCCAAGGGATGACGTATGTGCTGTGCTATTTTCCATTCACTGCAACACTATATTTATTGCTACCTTGACTGACAACTGTAAACACTTACTTTATAATTTTTGTATAATTTTTAGGAAAACTACGATGAGGAAATTGAAGCTTACAAGCACCACCTGGAGCAGACCTATAAGTTATGCAGGCCATGTCAGACAGCAGTGGAGTACTACATCAAATATCAAAACCGTCAACTTCGAACAGTGCTCCTAAACCATCAGCTGCGACGCAGCCGAGAATCGGACAAGGGCTTCGTAAAGGTCAGTGTGATCCAAAGTCCAAAACTAACAACTGTCTGAATAAATGAATTTTTAATTTACATTAAACACTGTAAGGCTTGATGTGTAACCATATGCTGTTGCATGCATTGCGATGCAGGAACAGTTTGTCGCACAATCACACTTCTGTAGGAAAATGGTTGACTATAACAATGAATGACATGTATATAAATTGCACTGAAATTCTGTCAGATAACATTCTCCATCACTGTTGCTCACTGAGATGATGATGATGATGATTATAAAGAAAAGAGCCTTCCCACTGTAGCATTTCATCAGAAACGACATCCTCACATTGTTTACAAATGTTTTTATCTTACTGAACATTACTTTATGCCACCACAAGATAGTACAGTACCCACAGGTCTTGCCACCTTCGTCTTCTCATATTAAATATTCCTCCTCTTGATCTCATCTGTTTATGTTGCATGTGCTTGTTCTGTAATTACAAACTGAACCTCCTTTTTATGTGCACATGCCCAAAGCCAGAGGTTAACACAGCCAGCTGTCAACCAGCTTTGTAATACCAGTTATACAGCTCCACTGATGTCAGGCTTTATTAAAGGTCTGTAACTTTCAGAAAGGATATTCAGATGGAACTTATTCATCTGGAGGAGGTTTTGTGATTTTTAAATATAACATGTTTTTATTAAAGAATTGAATATGGAGTGCGTATGGTTGTGAAATATTGTTGTAGGCAAAATGTGTGTCAAAATACCAATTTAAATTGAATATTGTCGTGGTGCAGAGATGTCCTGGCCTACACCTCATAAGACTTTTGAAAACATCTTTGTTTGGTACAGATCCTTGCAAAAATCACACTATAGCCATTTAAATATGTATTTCAGTGAAAATGAGAATAATTATGTAAAATTAATCTTTTCCTCCAGTATTGTTCAAAATTATTCAGCCCTAGTCAATTGCATATTGTCTGTTTTTAGGATAATATGTCAACATTAGTCTTTTCACAGCTTATTAAAATGTGTTAATGTTATGAAAATGTAACAAAATATTCACAAAGAATACATTTTCTTTCTCCTTCAGAGCTCCTACTCTGCGTCTTCTCCCGTGGGGGTCATACTCTTACGGGCCCTCACCTTCCTCATATGTGCTTTCCTAGTTGCTACATCTTTAAGTGAGTTGAGGGACCAGCCTACTCCGCCTAGTGGCCCACAGACATTAAGTGGTGGGGTAATTCCTCCAAAGCCTAACGTCTCCAATGAATCCCACCTGAACAACGAAAGCAGTGGAGGCGTGCCTGCATGGCAGGATCTGCTGGAGCTGCTCCCAGGCCAGGCCATTGAAAATGTCAAGCTGGTGTGGCAGCATGGAAGGAACAACCAGCTGGCTGTAGTCTCTGTTGGCCTGTTGACATGTCTCACCGCTATCTTCTTAGCAGGACCTGTGAGGTAAGCACTCATCACCCCTTTATTTTCCCTTGGAAAGGTCGTCACAGAGAAGCTTAATTTAGTCGGAAGCAAACTCTTCAAGATTATGTGTCTTTTTTTCAGGTTGAGGAGAATTGATGCTGTGGCCTCTGTCCTGTGGTTCCTCATCCTATGCCTCTACCTGGCTGAGAGCTACTTGACTGGAGCCTTGGGCTGGATGGACACAGCCAAGCTCAGTGCCATCTCCCTCTGTTGCCTAGTCAGCTTTGCCGCTGCTATGGCTACTCGCAAACCACTGGGTCCAAGAAGAGCCAGATATCGAAGGTCAGAATCTGAGCAGTAATGTTAAAATTGTGTTTGACACATGGGATTTTATAAAGAGTCCTCTTTCCATGAGAGGTGTGCGTTCATTAGAACCAGATCAAAGCACATTAATCGGAGTGGTGTCATTACCAGAACAAGGAACATGCTTTTTTTTTTAAAATTCAATGTCCATTTTTAACTTTAAGACCCAAATTTTCTGGCGTGTACATACGACTGATATGACACGTGAATAGCAAACATAAAGGCGGGGGGGGGGGACAAAAGACGTCCTTAATCGCATCAAAACCTCACCTTCAAGCGCACATGGCCAATAGTTGCATGATGTGTGTAAAATTATGGAGGTTAAAGTAATTTTGCAGCTAGGGGTATTGTTTCAAATTCATGCTGTTTATTAACCTTTGCATTATTACATTGCTAATGCCATATTAACCAGAACAAATGTGTAATGGACTGACCTTGAGGGTGAATAGAAATATGCAGTTAAAGTCATTTTTAAACCAATATAGTGGGACTTTAACATTCAACTACCTAACTAATACTATTAGCATTTTGGATGTACTCATTTATTTATTAACACTATGGTGTAGCTGTAGGTTGAAAGTACAGCTCATTGCCTAAATACTCATTTGTGAAGACACCGCAAGCCACACTCAAGATTTCTTCACATCGTCTTCAATTTCTGAACAAAGGGTGATCTTGGACATTTCCAAAAAGTGTTCATCGTGAGTACTTTGACACCACTATGTATTTATAACCGATTTCCATAAGGAATCTCTAAGGAACACTATCTGTGCTGAACTGATCAGTTCGCAGGGCAGCGCTGGAAGGTTTTTCCATGTGTGATATGTAGTTATCTTTTTGAGTAAAGTGGCTCCATTGCATTTTTATTCTGACAGCCACTGTGTACAAATTCTTTGTGTAGAAACAGTTGTAACAGAAGCCGTTTGCCAAAATGCTAAAACATGGTAAATCTAAACGCTCAGCTGTCAGGGAAAAGTAGTCACTAGTTCATCAGCTTTTTTCCCCAAAATTCTGTCATTCAGAGGTCTTGCTGTTAGCTGCTCTTCTCCCATCCTCATTGCTGTGATCTTGTTTCTCTGATTTCCATTTGGATTTTGCTTCAGGTTTTCCCTCTGCCTTGAATTGATGCGTGAATTTGCATTGTATACGGCACTTTTATTATGCTTTAGTTAGTCTGTTGTGCCGAAAGCTAATGCTTAAAACTAGTGGCTACCTGACAGATACTTAATTAGTTTGAGGTAATCATTTCTAAGTAGTATTTTCTGGCAGCCAGGTCGTATCTGTGCTTGAACTCTGCAACTGAATATAGTCATTGGTCGGACATTTTTCAAGTGTAATGTAAAGCTCTAAGCAAGTGCTCTGCTGAGTGTAAGAATCAAAGTGAAAAGAGTCAGTGTTGTTTGATGATTTGAAAGAAGCTTTTACCTCACATGTTGCACTTGTGCAAGATACGCCAGTGCACTACTCTGCACTATTACTGGACTTGCACGGCCTTCGGTTACGTCCAAGTAGGATGTACTTTCATCCTAACATAGTTTCAAGTAAGCCTCAAGTGAAAGGTTGGACTGTCATCTTTTTCATATTCTATTGGAATACAAATTTGCTATGTTTAAAATGTGAAAATGCATTTTGCAGCTAAAAAAAAAGACTTTGCACTCATGTATCGCTTCCTTTGATCACTACCAGTAATACTAAACTTTCCTTTTCAACATTTTAACATGTTGATGTATTAAAAACACTGATGGACGTACTTTCTGCATGTGCTAACATTTCACCTCTTATTTATTTCTGTTAACCTGTTTGTTTTTTTACTCTGAAGTTATTTTGTGAAGGGGGTGTTTATTTGACTGTAACGTGAAAAGGTATTAGAAACTAATAGCTGTAGACAGTGAATGTAGATCACATTTAATGGGTAGAGTACTGTATCTGTGGGATTTGAAAATGTAAAAATACTCCTGTAGACTAAGTTATGTTATCAAACCAGCACCTTTGGTGCAAGAGTCATAAAGCTTTAAATTGTGAATTTTGGTAACAAATGTGTTGCCAAAGGTAAGACATTCAAGATGCCATTTGTAGGTTATGAGGAAAGTATTACTGCTCATACAGAGTAATTTCCATGTTTTGAAGCTGTGATTTTACTTTTCTGCCTCTGGAAAAAAAATCACATGCAAATATTGCAATGCTTGCAATAGTCCTATAGCAGGATGAATCTGTATTATTCATCCATATTTTTACCTTTTCGTCTGTATATCTAAGGTACATATTAAAATTGTATTATCTTTTTGTTTTACATGCTGTGCTAAAAAGTTTGTTCCCTATAAACCACCAGTGTGCATGTTTGTGTTAAAATATATAGCCTGAGTATATGGCTATTTGTGTGGTTTTAAGAGAATTCTTGTATCTACCTGCTGTATGACTGTTAACACTTTGTGTCAAGCATTTATCTCTAGAAACACTACATTCAAACTTGTATGTTAATCCATACATTTCATCTGCCATATGCAACTACAGCATTATACCATTGCCTCAAACATATGTTGTGGTGTTTTTTAACAGTGATAGTTGTAGAAATACTTTATATTTTTATTTTACTAATAGTTCTGTCAATCTTGATGATTTTACCGCACTGTTACTAGGCACATCCAGTATGTAGCTAACAAACATGGTTGTGTCATACCTAAATGTTTTATCAATGTATGTTGTAGAAAGACTGACTCAGTACTTAAAAACAATGAGAGCTTACTGTGCCAAACATCGGTACTTTTCACAATTCACAATTTAAGCAATAATTTGCTATGCCAAACTATATTATAAATAAGCTAATGAAATGTATCTCAATTTGATCAGATACTATGTGTTTATATACTCTGTAGCAGCCTCAGAAATGGATCTCCATCCATGCTGAAAGGTTTCCTGCAACACACCCAATGAAACAGTGTATTTGTGCCTAAATGCTGTAATTGGGTGTATTGCTTTTAATGACAGGCTCCAGTTTAAAGACTTTGTATGAATGCTTGCTGTACATGGATTATAATAAAGAACTGGTCAAACGATATGCCATCTCTGTTTGTTTTCAACACAAACACACCATCTTATCCACTGCGCTATGTTTCTCTCCAGTTTTTGTAACAGTACCCTGATTACACAGCATTGGGAGTTAAAGTTTTAAAAAAAAGTTAGCTTAAATTTAGTGAGGTCTCCTGTGATTATTTCTCTAGAAAGACCAAGCTTGAATGCCCCTGAGTAAACCTTATTCTGACACGTAATGTGCCATTGACAGTGTGTTGTGGAAATATGAATGAGTTGAGCTAAACTGCTGGGGCAACTTCTCCTGTAGCTGTAGTTCTGTTGGTGCCGTCAGCTGCTGTGTGTTGTTGTCCAACAGCTGCAGTGACAGCCTTCTCCATGCTGCACTTGTTAATAAAGTGCTCACATTAAATGGATATCGGAACAGTATGGTACAAATTTTGTGCACTGATTTGACTTTGGGCACGTCTTGTACCTGTTATGCAATTCAAAGTTTATATATTTTCATGTCAGTGTTTTAATTAAATTAATATGAAACATAAATCACACTTTACACTTGAAATCGTAAATTGAATATTCTGTCCTTACCGCACAATTTCTAATGTTCTTTGTGCTGCCTGTTTCTGTAACAAAACAGTTTGTGTTTGTGCCAAATGATGTGCTTTTTCTGCTGTGTAAAAACCTTTTGAATCAAATAGTAGCCTGTTACATTGCTCTTGTTTTGCAGATACCTTGCAGGCAACTCTGCAGTCCCCCCCTTCAGCAGCCATCCTCCTTTGTTCTCTCCTGACCTGGCAGACTCTTTTGTCCCCATGCCGCCCCCCAACCTCTCCCTGCTCATCAAACGCCAACATGGTCCTCGCGAGCGCAAGGCTTCCCCTTCCTCTCTGCCTGGGCGCCTCAGCAGAGCCCTTTGCCTTGGCACCATCCCCTCCCTAACCAGGACAGGTAACTAAAATTATTTATTCCGGTTTGAGTTTGATAATCCTCTTGATACTGTTAGATTTTTGTAGGCCTTTTAGCATGATCTAAAAATGACTTGTTTGATGAAATTAAGTTCCATTTAATTGGTTTGTCAATTTCCTTTTTAGATGGTGAATTTTTTTTGAGTTATTAAGTTTATTAAGTTATTTTCAAGTAGCTTCCTTCAGCAAAAATATTCAGCCAACTTCTGCCTGCAGTTCTTGTTGCGTGGCTTCCCTTAGCTGCTCAGACATGTTTGATCTTGAGTTGCTTCTTGCAATGTTGTTCCTTCCATGCAAACAAGATTTATAATTGATAAGATTCATTAGCTTTACTTTCTGTTTCTGCTGCTTGTCACACAATTGGGTCTCTCTAAAGACTCACTGTTATATTGGGAAAAATATGTCGTATGTATGCAGTGTATGGTTTATGATGTGCACACACAACAACCACAACAGTTCAAAAAAGACAAAACACTTCTGTATTGCAATTTACTTATTTCATTACTACACTTGGATAAATTTGCATTAAGCTCATTTTGGCTGATATTTCTCTGTTTGAGTATATTTTATGGTGACATTTGGGCAAGAATATGCATTTAATGTTTATTATAGAAGTAATATGATGCTACAATGAATCAGTTGGTTGATGGACAGAAACTGTATCAACTATTTTGATCAATTAATCATTTGTAATTTTTAAAACACAAATTATGTAACAATAGTTTCAGCTTCTCAGTTGTTTTTGCTGCTTTCCTTATTTTAAGTGATTGTAAACTAAGTATTCGTGGATTTTGGTCTGTTGGTTGGACAAAACAAGTTACAGGCATTAAGAAATTGGCTTCACTATTCTGTCCCTTAATAGACCAAGCGATTCATCAAGAAAATAGTTAAAGTTGCTGCCCTACCTGCATGTGTTATGGTTTTGCCACTAGGGGGCAGAATAACATCAAAATCGCCTGACCACCACCACATATCACTAATTTAGGATTGTTGAACATTTTGGTTTAAACCTTGCCTACTTTTAATTTTATCACACCCAACAACATTAGCTTTTATTTGGACTGGCCAACAGACTGATGCAGGTTTAAGGAAAGCCCTTGGTCATGGTTCTTGTGAATGGTGTGATTTGCATTTCTCTTCATTTTCAGATTCTGGTTACCTGTTTAGCGGAAGCAGACGAGCCTCACAATATAAAGACTCCCCGCCCTCTGGTATTAAAACTCTTTGTGATTTTTGTGATGTCCGCTCAACTCTGTATTTTAAACAATTCCTAACCCTTTCAGAGCACTTGCTTGACATTTTCCTCTGCTTTTGTGGCACAGACTACTTCTCACTGAAGTCTGCGAGCCGCCCATCATCTCCAGGCCCCTCTCCGACTCCTTCGGTAGCTGGATCAGTTACATCCAGTTCATGTTCTGCCAGACAGCGGCGTCCCCTCATCAGTCCTGCTCGCCTCAACATCAGCGGCCGGAAACTCCGGCTTTTCTCTGCAGAGCCAGAGCCCACACTCATGTCCCCACCTTTGTCCCCATCACATTTTCATGTAGAGCCAGCCTCTTCAACTTACAGTGGCTGCTTTTCACCTGACACATCACCCTTCCAGAGCCAAAACGGTAAGTACAGCTGGGGGGTGGGTTGTAGCAACAACCTCAGTGCCATTTGTGATACTACCACCAAAGTAAAACATTTTCAAATCTGACAGTGTCTTTAGGTAGAAAAGATTACACATTCATTAATAGCTTCATTTTTTGATGGTTTTATCACTGGCTTCATAATTTACTTTGCTCAATTGTTTTGCAGATTTGAGTTCTTTGTTAAGGGACGGCAGCGTGATTGAAGAGGAAGAGAAGCGAGGCAGCTCCTCAGAGTCCTCCGCATGCCTGGTTGGCACTACTACACAGGGGCTGGAGAGCACAACTCCTCCAAAAGGTAAACATGGCAGTGTCCACAATCTGACAGAAATCACCTTTAGTTTTGGTTTTATGCCTGTTGTCTAACTGGGTGTCATAACCGCATCCTGTCACTACTTGTAAATTGTAAAACAATACTCACATGGTGAAATGTTCATTGAAAGCACAATTGATCACTGCTTCTTTCCATACTGGGAGCAAAGAGATTCGCTCTTAGAGCAATTTCAATCTAAGTGACTGGAGACAAAATGCTATTAAAGGGGCACGGTAGGAATTTCTTTTCGTTCCCTCGTAATACATCTTGCATTCTCTCTAATCCATAGGACAGTTGGACCTGTCCAGTTAAACTGCCCGTTTAGGGAAACTCTCTGCAGATACTACAGGGAAGAGAGATAATGTCGCTGTAATCAGTATGTGGTAATGGTACAGTGTGAGTCAGAAGGCTTGAGTGTCGACAAGAGACCAGGGCGAATAACCGTAATGAAATTGACGCACATGACTCTTAAGCGTTTGAGGGCATATTAAACATTTATATCACATAACAACAAGGTGGGACCCAATATACCTCTAGAGGTATGTTCTAAGTCCTAATAAAAAACCAACCACCATTTCAGTAAGAAATATTACAAAACTAAAAAAATTTAATGTGCGCACATAACAAAAACAAACGGGTATGTTTCAGTGTTGAGTCTAGCTGGTGCACTGAAATGAGGAAAGGTATGAATGTAGTCCGTCCCTGGAGCAATATGTACATATACAGTTTAATCCTACTGCACTTGAAGTCAGCGAAGTAGTTCAAAGCCTTCTAACTGCGGGCAGCAGGCTCTGTATCCAGTACTGGGAAAAGGTCTCTGGCTGAAACTCTGAGATCTCTTCTAAAGGGATTCCATCTCAAAAAGCTGACCTATGAATAAGGTCAAAATATAGTTAGATTCATGCTAATACTACGAAAATAGTGAATGCCGTGCACTGGTGTGTTCACTGTTACTTTTCCTGGTCCATGCTTGTAAAATATCCAGTGTCCTTCGAATGTAATACCAGATAACATCTCTCTCACTTGTTTCTCTACAAAGTGCTAAAATGGGTCGATCAGTGCATCTCTAGAAAAAGGTGTTTCCCTTAGAACTTCTTTCAGCAGCAGTTCTGTTTTGCACGCCGCATGTCCACGAGCATGCAATGCCGGCCCGTATTCGTGTGCGGCAGACCAACCTGGTTGGTGTGCAACCAACCTGTTTCAACTAGACTCATCCGAAAATTTAAATACAGTTTAACCATAAAGATGTTGTTGTTGTTGATACAGCTCAGTTTCCAGACTGTAGTCTGTAGTCACTTTTCCAGCATTTTGGAAAAGTTTTATACTGTACATTTACTGCCAGAATGACAACTTACTGCTAAACTTTTTCTCTGCTCTGCTCGCCCTCACACTCGCTATGCACACACATTAACCAGTGCCCTGTTCCTTAAAGGAGCTACAATATTCTCATAAAAGTACTTTTCACGAGTTGTCTTTCGGATAATGAGGAGGGGGAGCAAGCCAACCATTGGATGTTATCATGCCTGCACAGTGTGCCAGTGAAATCACTAGTAGCCCATTGATATTAATGGTCATTTGAAATCTTAGAAGCCCCGCTCAGAGGTGCACTATTACTCATTAAATATAAGGGAAACGATACCACCAATTTTACACCTTAAAGTCTTGTGGAGTACTATTGCATATCTGTAAAAAGTTGCGTAAAGCCTTTTGTGGCCCCAGAGAGAGCTGCAGAAAATCTGATCAACTGCCTCAAGTGATGTCACTTGGGTCAGTTGGTTGTGGAGAGTTAGGCCCAATCCCAATGTCCACACTCACAGACTCACAGACTTTGAGGCGCATTCCCGGGAAGTCCGTGGGGGCTTAGTGCTGTTCCGCTGTCAAATCGTCAAGTCCGCATTTCTGCAGACTTTGGCTGAGGGAATTGGCCACAGTTCATAGCGGTATGACGTGAAACCGTTTGAGCAGACACATGCACATTTGTGGCCTGCTGGAGGTCATTTTGCAGGGCTCTGGCAGTGCTCCTCCTGCTCCTCCTTGCACAAAGGCGGAGGTAGCGGTCCTGCTGCTGGGTTGTTGCCCTCCTACGGCCTCCTCCACGTCTCCTGATGTACTGGCCTGT